AAAACACATAAAACACAAGAAAATAAGGACAAAAACACAACAAACAGGTTCAAGAGTGATTTTTTTTCATTTTAGTTTTGAGTTCCAATAAGAAACATTCATACTCATTGGAGTTCAATACATCAACAGTATTGCGAAATTCTTCTTAATTAGTTTAGTAAAAAGTTTGATTTATTCAACACTTAGAAATGCTTTAGCCGAACATAGAGTCAAACCAGGAAAGGACGCAGACTCGCAAGACTGAGGGGCACAAACATAACCTTTACAAAGTGAAAAAAAAATGATATTTATTCTCTGCATGTTCTTATATATTATATCACTAATAATTAAACAAATTCAAATCTCATTAAATGTACTTTTTTCAAATACCAAATTTTTTTCTTTTGCACTGGATATTCTTACAATGTCAGCATTCGCACACTTTTTTATAATAAAGATAAATATTTATTACTTAAAAATCAATGAAAAACACAATTTAGTAGCTAATTTAAACTTATAATTATAATTTTAAGAACGCCTAAATTCAATATGTATCAAAATCAATGTTGATTTTTGTGGAAAATCGATTTAACTTATTTATATATGTTGCCTACAACATAGTATAAATACCAAATGCAAACAACTTAAATTTAAAAAAAAAATCTCTTGTAATTATTTTTCAATATAATTATATATGTTATAATATTTTTTAAAATTGCACAGGGGTCTGTGCCCCTACTGGCGCCTGCCTAGGTCCGCCCCTTAGTCAAATTCATAATTGATCACTATAAGGTATTTCTACGAACATTTCATAAATATCTATGTGAAATAGTCATTGAAATTCTTGAATTTTTTTAATCATAGTATAAACTACTACATTACTCTCTCTCTTTCTCTCTCTCTCTCTCTCTCTCCCCATATCGACAAATTGGTACATATCCTATGAGGTGGGAACTAATTTCATTTATAAATAAAAATTGATCTTTCAAAATCATGTACTTCTCCGAAAAGACGCTAAACTATTTTTAATATCATCACACATTACATGAAAGTACATACTCTAAAGTAATTGCGCATATTATCGAGCACAATACACAATTAAGATTGTAAATGTTCAAATTAAAAAGTCACAACTTATTCAAACATTTAAAAATATTTTGATCAGAATCGAATATTCCCTTTTCAGTATTATTTATTTGGAAGACAAACAAACTACATAACCTATTATTTGCAAATCACCATTTTAGTTGTCGCAACGATTTCAGAGTTAATTGTCTTAATACCTTTCACAATCGATCGAATTTGTAATATCGAGAAGCATAACATTTGTCAAAATGTTTAATATGAGAAGAATATGAATTCTATTATATTATGATACTCTTAGTCATATGTGAACTTTATTATTATGACGTCATTATTAAAGTTTCTGGTGCATATTGTGATAATATGGAATCATTATTTATGAGAACCAATTTCTTATACAGAACATATATTTAAATGCTAGATACAAAAGAAAAAAAAAGTAATTATAAAGATTTTTGTTTCTTGATATTGGTACTCATACTTTTTTAAAAAAATTCAGACTTTTATTTTTTCTCTTTGCATTAATATTCTATTTATATGTATTCTGGTTGTTTGATAGTAATAATATATTTGAAAAAATTGTATTTTTATATTGTTTATAAGTTTAAATAGTTTTAGATTTTTTTCCATTGTTTGATAAAATATTAAGCAACTAACTCATTTTTATATTCACAAAAAGTATTTTGCAACCATTATGGTGTTCCATTTCAAGCGGTAATTTAATAATAGTTTAACATAGAACTCATTAATTATATACCACAAGTTGATCTATTGTTATTTTATAATTATTTAAATTGAGTTAACATGTGTCTATAATTTATTTTATAAGATACTTTTAGGTCTATTTATTATTTTAAATTGGTTTGATAAAAATAATTATATTATTTTTATTTTATTTACAATACATTGATCAAATAAACACATGATGAGAAATAAATGATGTTATTTATTACATTAAAAAGAATAATAAATAAAAAATTTTAAGTATTTCAAAATAAAAAATTTAATGCTAAAATATAAAAAAAAAATAAGACTAACATACTGATTTCTAATACAAATATATATATATATATATATATATATATAAGACACTTTTA